ATCTACTTTATATATATATATATATATATATATATATATATATTGATTTTTGCTTTCTGCTATATTGGAGAAAAAATAAATAGTATAGAAACTAGCAACGGTTGCTGAACTTGCTCTTTTTTTCCTTGTGTTTTCTCAAACACAAAAATTCACTAAAGCTGACTTCTAGTCACCCTAGATCTTGCACTGTGATAAAGGACTGCTAGCTGATTACACCAGCAATGACATGAATAAACGAGACGATGTCAATAAATTGCATTTGGTCTTGCTGCCCAAAAGTTATTATTAACTAGGCCGGACGGCAGCATTTTACCTTGACCAGGTTACGTCAGTACACACAACGGAATCGAACCTAGATAGTACAACGGATAATTTCGAAACGTTACCACTACGGCAGTCTACCCCGAGTGCAAGTGAGTCCCAGGGCAGATGTAGATTTCAAGACAAGCTAAGTCTCTACCATATCACACTTATAGAGCTAATGATAGTCTCGAAGCCTACTTACTTGGAGTATAAGTAATGTAGTCAATTTTAATAAGAAAATACAAGTTTGCTTCATAGAGGCTTGCCTTGAAATTCGCACCTGCTCTGTGACCCCCCAGCACCCGCGGTTGTGGCGAAGAAAGAAAGCATATAGAAGATAAACCCTGTATAATCTGGGTTAAAGTCAGATGAGGATGCTGAGAAGATTCAGGCGAGATCAAAACTTCAGTCTATCCGGAATGAGAAAAGCTGTTGGGAGACAAGGCTAAGTGAAACTTGATGACATCAGGAGGTCTAGTCATGTTGCTATTGGAAATATCAACTATCAATCCTTCGTCACCTTATGTAACTCAGAGTGAATACAGTTCCTGTACAAGATTTACTGACGGTCTCGAAAATCATGAACAATGAAAAGAACTTTGCTTTCTCTCTTCGCTCGCTCTATAAAAAGTGTTCTCTGCTATCCGACTTTAATGAGCTATTTCTCCGTCTACTCCCCTTTATTCCATCTTACTTCTGCCCTACTATTCTGCCAAATTAATGCATACAATTTTCCAGGATATCTTGTTCTTACCTGGAAGTCAGGCTTCCAATGAAAGACACAGCTCTCGCCAGTCCCATAAAAGTGGGGGCTGCAATGCATGCGCTCAGACATGACGGCGCCGAATACACCGCCCAGTGTGTCTCGGATCAGTAAAAGCTGTCCACCCTGCACATAGCGCACCTTTCGATAGAGCGTGCTCAAGCTGAAGCCGTCACGCGCGGTCGAGTAGACAAGTGAGAATGTGCAGCTGGTCCAGTGGGGCGGCAGGCCGACTGCCAACTGTGGAACGAGAGGAAAGGTTAGGGTTAGCATTAGTTTTCCAACGCGCTGCCTCAGGTGTGCCTAGGGTGTTGGCAATGAGTACGATTTGCGGTCAGCTGAGGCGGTAAATTTTCTTTCGCTTTGGTCCATGCTGGCGATTGTATAGTGTCGAGGTTGATGAGGATAGCCTGGAAGATGCTGGCACTTTGGTGAGTGAGTAGTACTTAGTAATTATATACATTTTCTCAATCTTTGTATATATATATATATAATATGTCATATAAATATAAATGGTGTATATGCAAATTAGCCGATAAGTGTTGACTCAATTTTCACTTCGAATGAGCGTGCGAAGATATTCGTAGTCCAATTTAATCAGAGCACAACAATGAGTTCCGCTGGGCCTGCTGTCGTTCAGAGTTACTGGGACATTCAGGCTGACGCACCCCTCGAGACCACAATGAAAGACTAGCCGGTTAATTTGCTGGAACTAAGATGGGTCTGAGACTGACTTAAGAATGCATCCCTGCTCTAATGATATCAGTCATATTAATGATGATGTCCCCATTGCAGCCAAACGAGGGTGTCGCGAGAACTGCGCAAATCTGATAGTCCAAGAAAAACTAAGAGAACGCAGATAAAGGCGAATCCATCATAATCTTCGGATGAAGCCAAAAGACAAGTTCCAAAGTAGAGAAGGTTGTAAATTGAATTAAGAAGGAGTAATGATGGAGGTATTTCACCAAACAAAATGTGAGCAGAGATCGTAGTAAAGGTAAATCAATTCAATTCATTGTAGATACTAAGAGAAACTGGGTTTCAATGAATCTCTTAAGATAACATTATTAGGGGGACTTTCATTTCGTACAAAAGTGAATGAAGAAGAGATTCGTTCGTTGATCTCACCAGATGAGGACGGATAAATCTCGTCATACTGCAGCCATTTGGCTTGTATACGATATTCACGTTGACGCAGTCCACGAGACTTCCTCTCTCGTTTCGGGTGAAAACGTTGAATGTGAGAAACGGTGGTAGTAAGTTGAGTATGAACTACTTATGCTTGATTGATAGATTGAAAAAGAAAGAGGGTGTTGAGCCGCGGTCAAAAAGAAGGCGACTTAATTTGTCTGCTCGGTAATGATTCTAACTTGACTCACATTCGTCCAGCATGTTAGAATAAACTAATAAACCAAACCAGACATGTAAGATTACGCAAACCCAGTCTTGCCTTTCCTTGGGAAATTAAACTTTAATGACCCTAGACTGAAAGGTTAGGACAAGTGGTTTCGTAACTTAATTTTCATGCTTACAAGTTCATATCCCATTATCTCAACCATACTTGTTTACGGCCCTACGCAGTTTTAGTCAAGGCCCTCTCTTGGGTCATTAGGCCTTGAGAATCAGAACCTGAGATTAAAACTTTGACAACTCTGATTTAGCGACTGTATTGCATATAGACGCTAATACGCACACACTTGAACAAAAGTAACAGGACCAGTATGAAAGATAATTAACTAAACCACTCTATATCCATCTATCTAGGTTTTTAATTTTATTTTGGGTCAATTAAGTCTATATAAGTAGTAAGATAGAGTCGGATAGTGTTCTTGCACTAATGTTAACGTGAGACTTTTG